GCGCGGCGGCGGGGAGGGCACGGCGGGCGGGCGGGCGAGCCGAGAGAGGGCGGCGGCGGGTGCGGAGCCGGCCGGGGCGCTGACCGCCCCCGCGGGAGGAGGGGCGCCGGCGGAGGGGGCGGCGCCGCCGGGACCCCGGGGCCACCTGCTGGCGGAGCCCGGCCGTCGCCATCCCCGGGGGCCGCCGTCACCGGCCTGGCCGCGCGGCGCCCCGAGGAGGCGCGGAGGCCGCGGCGCAGCGCCCTGGCCCGGGCCCGCTGGCCTGTCCCCGGGACGCGGGGCTGTTTGCGGATCTCGGCTCACAGAGCCCGCTTGCCGGCCGCCCTCCGCCGCTCCCCCGCGCCGAGCTTGTGCTTGTAAACGGTCCCGGGGGTCGTAGACCCTCAGTGGCCAGCCCACTCCTTGGCCTGAGAGCTGGGATGTGAAAGGGCCAGACTCACCGATTTTAGGCAAGTTTTAGCGGGTGGGGGAACTTACCCATCTGCGCTCTGCAAGGAAACGAAAAGAGATTTTAGAATTTATTGGTGGGAAGAATATAGAAAAGAGTAAGCTTCAATTCTAAATTTACCACGATCTTGGGGACTGTAGGAAGCTCCCGAGTTATAGACTAGGAAGAGCACTTGCAGTGTGAGCTTGGAGAGGGTGGAAGGGTGAGGTGTGCTTGATGGCTCTGTGCACTCTTAGGGAAGCAATGGTCAGGGCAGGTGCAGGGGCTCTGCCACTTGATGTAAGATGCCAAAATAATCGACATAAACAGAAAGCCGTTATTATTTCTGTGTAATATTCTTTGGGGGAGCGAAGAGCACACTATAGGCACCATTTCTTGTTCACAACATCTTTAAAGCTGGATAGAAAAGAATTTTACACCACCTGGGATTGGCAGTACAGCAACATGATCTAACATGCTTCAAAGTACTGCCGCCAAACTGATCATTTCTAGCCGAATTACAAAGAGTAAAGAGGTGGGCTGCTCCTTCAGCACAGTGGCAAATTCAGATGGCCTCAAAGCGCAGAGAGAAAAAGAGTGACAAGATTTGTTAATAAATGTGATGAATCTCACTGAGGGTCTCCCCAAAGAGGAGAGAGCCACTCAAGAACTGCTATTCAACAGGGACACAGGAATAGGCAACTGCCAAGGAAGGAAGAAGTTGGAAGCAACTAGCAGAGACACAAACACAGAATAAGCTACAAACCAAGTGGTGGCAGCAGCATAGTTGCACATCCTGAGGTCTCTGGTAGCATGCAGCAGATGGGAAGGCTGGTTCTACCTGGCCTGGAGGTGAGAGAGAGAGCATTTCATTTAGTTCAGTAATGCAAATCCTTAAACTAAGAGAATCTTTTATGGTCACTCCTTTTAGAAGCTCAGGGATCTTTACCCAGAAATCATGAATGGGACAGATGAAATTTTGTATAGATTTCTTTGGGCTCCATGGATCTTCAAGAGTTGATAGGTGATGGAATGAATTAAAGTGGTAACAGTGATTAAAGCAGCTACCCTATTTGCACCCCAACCCCTTTAAAACCAAGCTTAAAAACCTAAAACTGTTTGGAATGTTTTTGTTGTTGTTGTTGTGTTGGTACCAGGGATGGAACTCAGGGACACTAAGCTACATTCCCAATCCTTTTTTGTATTTTATTTAGAGACAGGGGCTCACTTAGTTGCTTAAGGCCTCAATTTTGTTGAGGCTGGCTTTGAACTTGCAATCCTCCTGTTCAGCCTCTGAGCCACTGGGATTACAGGAGTGCGCCACTGTGCCAAGCTGGAATGCTTTTTAAAGAAACAAATGTTTTTTTTCTCCAGGCTGAGACCCATTCTTTCCTTTTTTGTGATGCCTTTTTAAATGTTTTTCCTGTAGCCACAAGGCTCAGTGCTATACTGATTGAGGAACATTGAGAATTGTTCATGCTTTGGAGCATAAAATGAGATTTTATTGTGCTTAAACTATGATGAAATCATTGAAGGTGTCATCCCAAGAAGTAAATCCCTAGGGAAGATACAATTTAGCATTTTCAGTTCAAGTAGGATGTGAATTCCATTTGCCAAAGAGAATAGTTTTGATGTAGTTAAGAAAATATTTAAAAGCAGTATTTAAAAATAATAGTCATTTTTTCCTGGACTTTTTTTTACCTGGTTTTCCAAGATGTCTATGAGTGAATTGGTCTGCAGAGAACCATAGGGCCAGCCTGTCCTATTAATTCTTTAGAGAAAATCAAGAACTATTTACTTATTCTCCACTTTGTGCAATAATCATGTCGTTATCTAAAAAAGTGTATAAATCCATAATTAGTATTAATATTAATCATAATGTTAAATTAGATTGTTTCAAGTGGGGTTTGCACTAGTCTCACCTTCAGGCCAGGTTCTATGTGGCCTGGAGGTAAGAGAACATTTCATTCAGTTCAGTAAAGCAAATCCTTAAACAAGAGTATCTTTTATGGTCACTCCTATTAGAAGCTCAGGGACCTTTACCCAGAAAACATGAATGGGACAGAATATCATAGACTGGACGACTTAACAAATTAATTTTCTCATCATTCTGGAAGCTAGAAGTCCCAGATTAAGGTCTAGCAGGGTCAGTTTCTCATGAGGGCTCTTTTCCTAGCTTGAAGACTGCCACCTTCTTGCTGTATGTCCTTACACAACAGAAAGGAAGACAGAGATCGATCCTCTTCCTGTATAAGAGGCTACCTGTTGGATTAGGGCCCTATCCCTATGACCTCTTTTAACCTTAATTGCCTTGAATTAAAGATCTCCTCTTCAAATACTGCCATATTAGGGGTTAGAGCTTCAACATAGAAATTTTGAGGAGATATAATTCAGTCCATAGCAGTATTGTTTTTGTTTGAATATCTTGTTTGTGTTGGGGTGTCCTAGAAAGTCCTGTAGGAGAACTACTAAGGTCAGTTCTCTGCCTCGGTACTTCAGAGCTCCCAAAAGCTTCAGAACCACAGATTTATATGTTACTAGAGCTCGGGGAAAATTGGTCAAATATTCTATGACATCATGCAGGCCAAACATCTTATTATATGACCATTCTAAAACCCAGTTGATTATAAAGATTAAACATAGGTTTTACTTTTTGACAAAAACAGGTAATTTGACCAGAAGACATTCAATAACCATAATACTAATTCTGAGAACTCTCTTTTTGAAAACTGTGTCTACAGAGAAATAAATAGTATTATGAAAATGTCCATCCTTATTTAGAACTTTGCTGTCCAATAGAAAAATAATGCAACCAGAGCATGTTAGCACACATCTATAATCCCAGCTACCTGTAGGCTGAGGCAGGAGGATGGCAAGTTCAAGCCCAGCCTTGGCAAGACCCTGCTTCAAAAAAAAAAAAAAAAAGGTCTGGGGGTTGTAGCTCAGTGGTAGAGTGTGCGTAGGTTCAATCCCCAGTATTGCAAAAGAAAAAAAAAAGAGCAAAGCCATATGTAATTAAGTTTTCAATTAGTCACATTAAAAAAGTAAAGATGAATAGATTAAATTTATTTTAAGAATGTTTTCTTTAACTGACTGCAATAAATATTTTGACGGTAAATTATTGAGATATTTTATATTCTTTTTTGTACAATTTTTTGAAACTGATATGTGGTATGTATTTTACACAAATCAATTCAAACTAGTTAAATTTGAAGTGCTCAATAGCCACATGTAGTTGGTGGTTACCATGTCAGACAGATCAGAGTTAGAGGAACACCTTATTTGAACCATGCTATGGTACATGGGTAGGACTACAAATTGATTATTGTTTAACTTTTATTAATAACCCCCACAGAAGAAGGAAACGAGCAGAATGGTTTTATTGAACTTGAGCTTTTCATAAATCTTTGGATTCGCTGAAATTGAAGGGCCAGTCCTTAAATAGATTCTGGGGGATCCTTTAGAAAGATTTAATAAGTATAAATTTTAATTTTTAAATATTATGACAATCAAGTAGATAACCATATATTAGCTCCTGTTTCTCAGTTTGTTCCTTGTCTAATACAAGTCTGCATAGTCATTTACTTCCTTAGTTTTGGTGGTTATAATTTTTTTAAAAGGAGAAAATATATGAGATTACATCAGTGAAAGATTTGAGAATGCTCCACAAATAACATTGCCTTATATTTATATGGGGCTTCTCTTTTAGGAACTCAAGGATATTTACCACAGGATCTAATTCTCTTATTTAATCACTCAATGAGATTGGTATATATTAATGTTCCAATTTTGTTACAGAAAAATTCGTCTTCATGAGACCATTTTTTAAACTATAATGGCAAGCCAGTTTCCTGATTCTTTAAGTGATGAATTAGCCTTCCTCTCTTTCTCTCATGTTTTAAAAAATCAGCTTTTTCCCCACATTTTTTATTGGAGCATTATAGTTGTACATAATGGTGGGATTTGTTGTTTCATATTCATACATGTATACAGATAACAATATGATTTGGCCAATATCATTTCTCAGTATTTCCCCTTTCCTTCTTCTTTTCCCTTCCTGGTCCTTTTCCTCTTTTGTAATGATCGCCCTTCAATTTTCATGAGAGTCCCCCCTCCACCTTTCCTTTCCTTTTTCCTCTCTAGCTTCTACTTATTCAGATCTAACTTATATAC